ATTGATTGGTTTTAATTAGAGAAACCGTCGGCCACAAATTAGCCTTGTGGCTTCATTAATAAGTTTTTATGGCATTCTCGCACTCGCATTTATTATTTATTTACACACACACATGCTCACTCATTGATTGCCGCACGTCCATTTTTTTTTTTTTTTTTTTTTTTTTTTTGCTTACAACCCAAAACTTGCATAACACGAATTATTTGTTTTGAAAATGTTTTCTCGGCTTTTGCTTTTTATTTTATTTTTTCTCTTGTCGTCCCATTCTGCGCTGCTAAGCAACTTTTTCCCCTTCCCCTCACTTCATGCTGGGTTTATATGACTGACTGGGTATAAGTATGTGTATGTGTGGCTCCGGCCATTTCATTGAAAGTGGCACTTTTGCTATTTTTATGGTTCGCCTAGTAATTGCAAAAACTTTACAAAGTTTCACGCTTCGCTGCCTGCTTACTCCCAAATGCTCCTCACATTGTATTGCGAAGCATTGTCCAGCTGAACAGTTTTTTTTTACAATGGTATATTTTTTATATTGGTTTAACATTTGTGAGAAGCTGAAAACTTTTTTGTAACTATGGAGAAAATCTGTTGAAAACTATTCTTGAAATAAGCATGTTAGTTCTTGCTTCTCCAAATTGCTGCAACTGAATTGAAACTTTGTGTTGTGGACTTGGCACCTTTTAAAATAAAACTTCCATGCAATCGATCAAAAATGTTTAAGCACACATTGTGTCTCAAGTTGGAAAGCGTTTTATTTACCAACAATTCCAAGTAAAATGTGTAAAAAATATAAGCCCAACATATAGAGACTACAAGAGAGTAAATAAAAATGTCTGCTAGTAGAAAGAATGAATATAAAAATGTAACAATATTAACTTGATCTTCTCCAGCTCAAAATTATTCGAACTTCTTTCTAATTATAAATATCAAATAGATAATTGGTCGAAATATAGACCTAGCCTTGTTCATTATAAGACCACAAATTGGAGTTCATTAAAGTCGTAACAAAGAGGGTTTAACTTAATAGCTAATTCAGACATTAAATTCTATTAAAAAATAATAATTAGGAAAAATACTACTTAGTATTGTACCATCTGCAATACGACTATTAATACGATTACTTATATCATGACTATTAGACTGCTATAATTAGTTTAGTATTTAGCAGCCTTTGTTTGCAAATAACTGAATTACATCGTCTTGACCAAATAGGCGATAGTTCAAGGAGCTTCAGGCTTGTCTCACTGCTGCCCAAAGTTGTACAATATTGCTGGCTGGCAACTTCTCCTCTTTCAATTGGTTTGACACTCTACTTGTGTGCTTAAGTTTATTAGTCTGCCAAAACACCCAAATAAATGACATTTCTTCACTTCATTACGCCAGCATTATAGGCACATAAAGGGGCGGAAAGTAGATATGTTCATTGAATCATCAGTTTGAAAATAAAAATAGGAACTGCAAATTTTCTAAACCCAATGGTTATTTGTTTCATAGAATAACTTTAAAGGTTTTTCTAAATTTTTCATGACAGAATTGTATAAACCAACTTATCCCCGGCAACCTTTAAAATGCTGTTTATTTCTAATTTAACTTTCAAAGTAAAGTTCGGTTTAGGAACCCACCAACATCAATGAATAGCCTGTGCCTGTTTCCGCCTCGATGAACTATTTGAGAAGCACTAGAAAAAGCTTAAGAATCTTTTGTAACCGTTTTGTAATATAAGATATAAGGTAGAGTTAATTATTTCACTTTTATCTCAGCTTCGATACACATGTACCCAATTATTTAATTTCCTCGAGCATGCTTACTATATAACTACTTGCTTACAACTTTGTCTTTGCTTTTCGGGAATGTTTGTCTTGTGCGAGTTTGTGAGTCCTCCATGGGCCATCGGGCCCGCTGCTTGCCCCATCTACATGTACACAGTTATTATTTGCCTTATTACTTGGCTTTGCCAGCTAATTGTTACGTTGCTGTTGCTTCTCCAGGCACCCAGGCGTAGCTTTTGCAGCAACTTTTCCCTTCGAAAACTTTGTGGTGGTTAATTTTATTTAAATAAACGAAATGCCGACGTTTTAGTCGCCCCGCATTATTTCCCTCCCCCTCTATCGCGTTCCCTCCCTGAGTTGGTATGGCTCAGGTAGTTGGCAGCTGGGACTTTCAGTGGCGAGCAACATAAAGCAGTCAAGCTCTTGGGCTCATATTGCATAATTGCGTTGGGACCAAATTAAACGTGCCGCTGCCTCTTTTATGTTCTGCTGCATGCTGTTTGCTTAAATTTAGTGTTAAAAGCTTACAAAGCAACTTTAAAGTAGCAAAACTTTATGAAAACATAGTTACGCGAATTCACACACATGCTGGGTAGTCCATAATCAAGTTTGTAAAGTGCTTCTGTGTGTTCGAGGGGTGTTTGGTTCGAAACTTTCAAATATATTGATTGGTAAAATTTGAAAAAGATCAGTAGACAAAAGTGGTAAATAACTTTGATAACTAAGCGCAATATCAGTCCAATAAGTATTACATTATCAAGTAATAGTGAATATAAAGTTTAGATGTGTCGAAGTTTAAGCAGAACAATAAATAATAGTGACTGCACCTTGTTAATGCCAAAAAATGTTGCGTCTAAGACAGAATGAAATGGTCGCTTAGTATTTTAGTCTCAGACTGATGGCATTTTCCTAAATCAAGTATTTCCATACAACTTCGTTGCTGATATGCTAGATGTTTTCTCCTAATGTTACATACGTTTCAGCTTAAACTATTCTATAATGTAATATTTAGTACATGTATTGTTAGTACAGATTACCTTTAATGCTACAATGTTGCTGCTGCAGAGCCATTCGATGTTTAGTAAATTTCTGTACTCTGTGCCTTTAGCAATATTTTCTTTGTAAACACGCATATTTTTGTCAGAATGAAACACATATTAATACGTAATTAAATAGATAACAAATATGGTGTACAAAGAAAAGTATTAGCCCGTGCTATATTTGTGCTATATTCAGAATTATAGATAAAAGTCTCTTTAGATTCTTAACTTTAATTTTTATTTTATTAAAATAAAAGATGTGATGTTCTTCTATTAAGCCATTACCATATTATTATTAACATATTCCCATATGGTACTACCAATGTATGTTTTATTGACAAATAAAAATATGTTTTTGCTCGTAAGCTGACGGCCTTAGAGAGCTATTAAATTATTGCAAACATGAACAAAATTGAAAACCCGTGTGATTGAATATTGAGAATGACTTGATTTCATGTGATAAGGCTTTTTTAAAGTATGTACTGTCAATGTCAATAGAATGTATTACACCTGGTCGAAAGCTTTCAACGAACGTTAAAGAAATAGGGTGGGAATATATGTCTATGTTAAATCGGACAAACTTATTGGTGCATGTTGGACTATATTTTGACATTCATAAAGGCATGCATAGGACATTTAATACAATTACAAATTTCCTTATGGAAGACTTTGTTACGAAACTATACAAGTCTTTCTAACAATAATTTAAGTTTGAAAACGTTTGGTTGAAGAAAATGCAACATACGAGCACATTTCATAATCAGACAGCCCTCTTCCTACATTTATTTATGAAGTGTGCGTGGATGTGTGTGCTCTTGCTTGTTTGGTTATCTACTTGCGCAACTTGCAATTGCCTGGCAACCATTGACGCACAACCACTCACACACACACACACGCGCTTACACACTCAGATATTTGTATTGTTATTCAGTTTTATGTATTTCTTCAAAAGCTGCATAAAATATTTGTATGTATATAACAAATCAGAGAAAATGCGCGCACATATCACTATTATGCGATGTGGTTATATGGCTTGGCCACGCCCAGTTACATATATTTATATATTTTATATATACATACATACATACGTACGTATATGTATACGAACACACTCTCAAGCAACAGACGTGGTCGAAAATGCCTGTCGAAGGCATTTGTGCAATTTGAAGAAAATGTATAGCATACTTTTGAGCGCATGCTGGCTCTCTTGCCAAATCAAATAGCTGCCCGTTTTTGGCTTTTTCCATTTGAATTTCTGCCTTTGGTGTTGTTAGCTGCCACCCACAACATTTTGCAGCTTGATTTGGCTGCTTTTGACATTTATGCCCTATTCCTTGCCTTTTCCTTGTCTGCCAATCTGGCTGGCTGAGCTTCGGTCAGACGACTTTGTCTTTGCATTTGGGGTGCTGCTGCTTCTGGCTACCCACTTAATTTTCTTGTTACATTTTATGGCTTTACTATTATCGACAGACGAGCGCCAGTGCGTCGACGGCTAGTTGATGTAGTGATTTATTCATTTTAATGACGCTTTTGTCTGTCAATGGTCGCTTGTATCAAAAAGAGAAGGAAATAGAACACACAACCATATACCAGAGACCAGGTGGATAGGGCCTGTTATCTGGGGTCAGCACTTTAAGGACTGCCCATCAATTTATAAAAAGCCTTTAATATGCACTTGACTTGCCTTTGCTTTTATCAACTAATTTTCTGGAGGCACACATTTTTTATTCATGCTTACCTCGATGACAGTTTCAAACTAGTTGCAACTCCAATCAATTTTCCCTATCTATCAGCGTCCCTTTGGCATTATGTGCAAAGCTAATAAACAAATGCACATGACCCGCGAGTACAAACTAAGCTGTCAGTGCAGTCAGCGGCATCAACAATCCATGCCCACCCACCCAATACACATTCCAACCATCCATCAAACGCCTACACCCGCTCGAATAAATTTGCTGCAAATGCGCATTTTACTTGTTGGTGTGGCAGGCGCTACGAGTGTCGAACATTGACAGCTCACAGTGCCACCGGCTGTCGAATATTTTCAAAATAAAGCAATTGCAGTGCACATTTAAATAAAACAACTATTACTGCGTTTTTGCTTTTAGTCTAGTCTATTGATTTTACTTTCTATATACCATATTGCATGAACAATTTTTAAACCTTCTTGTTTCGCTTTTCGATCTAATTTCAGGTGGTTCGGACAGCAACAAGGGAAAGAGTAAGAAATGGCGCAAAATACTACAATTTCCACACATATCGCAGTGCATCCACCTGAAAGACAAATTAGGTAAGCTTTCTTGCCTTCCTTGGCTGGACAAAGGCAAACGGCTATTTATTGTCAATCTAATCTTCTAAATACAGATATAAGCTATGGCTACGTGATAGATCAACAGCCAATTGGACGTGAGCTCTTTAGGCAATTTTGCGAGAACAAGCGGCCCGTTTACTTTCGCTACATTAGCTTTCTGGAGGAGGTGGTTAAGTAAGTTGAACAGTAATTTGTTGCTCCTGGAGGAGGGTAGTGGGAGATAACCTGGTAATTGTGTTTTAGATATGAAATCGAATCGAATCGCGTATGCACGGGGCATTGTATTGGACATCGTTTTCTGGGCATCGAATCGCAGCTGGAGTTGCGCAATGGCGGCGGAGGGGGTGGTGATGCGCTGGGCCAGGATATGCAGGAGGAACTGCTGCTGAATAGCAGCAATGCCAATATTGTTGCCAATCCAGCCATAGCCACAGCAACAACAACAACAACCACTGAAACAGCAGAGACTGAACATTGCAACAATACCACCGCCAACCACTGCAACAACATCAGCAACACCAACACCAACAGCCATCACAGGAAGCTTGAGAGCGATACGCGCAACCACAATGGCGAAGACGCGGCCCATAATGGCGACGGAGCCGAAAACGGTGGCGAACCGCCGAGCACCAATGGTGGAAACATGGATGCTGACAAGGGTGGCGGTAGCGAGCCAACTGGTGGTGGCGGTGGTGGTGGTGGTGGCGGCAGCGGTGGTACAAGTGGCTGCGATGACAAGCCAACACTTAACAACGGCGATGAGCTGGTGCTCGATGTCCTGAACGATGATCTCATTGCGCAGGTGCGTAACAAACTCAACAGCGGCGGCAAGGATCTCTTCACTCAGTGTGAGACGGCAGTGAAGGCGTTTCTGGCCGGCGAACCTTTTCGCGAGTTCGAGAACTCCATGTACTTTCATCGGTAAGTGTGCGCTTGCAGGGAACCCTCCACTCCCAAGCTAACCAATTCCCATTCCAATTAGCTACTTGCAATGGAAGTGGCTGGAGGCTCAGCCCATAACCTATAAAACGTTTCGCATGTACCGTGTGCTGGGAAAGGGAGGATTCGGCGAGGTTTGCGCCTGTCAGGTATGTTAATTATTCAAGCGATTTATGAAACGGATGGAAAGAGCAGCGCAGAAAGGAATTAAAAATTTGCTCCACTGTCGTGCTCCTCAACTAACCGGAATGAAGAATCTTGACAGAGTGTTCCTGCTGCTACATTTTCATTCCATTTCCATACTTCTATTATTCAGGTTCGGGCCACTGGCAAAATGTACGCGTGCAAAAAGCTGGAGAAGAAACGGATTAAAAAACGCAAGGGCGAGTCCATGGTGCTCATCGAGAAGCAAATACTGCAAAAAATCAACTCGCGTTTCGTTGTCAACCTGGCCTACGCATATGAGACAAAGGACGCGCTGTGCCTCGTCCTCACCATAATGAACGGTACGTTAATTGGAAAACTCAAAAAACTGCACATCTGTCAGAGTCGAAAGGTCCATTGCCTTGGCGGCAGCTGCCCAATTTAGAGAGGAGAACTCAATTCTCCGCGCCATACTATACATACGAGTACAGTGTCATTGAAATAAACGAGCGAACGAGCGATAAAATGAATGAATAATCCTCATGATTATTGAGTTTGCTGTTTTTTTTAATTAAATTCTTGCTTTCATGTTCTGGACACAATGAGAGCCCTGGCAATGAGAAGTCACTTATTCAGCCAGTTAGCAGCTATTCCTCCATTTAGGCAGTCAGTAAGTGAGTTAGTCAGTCAGTCAGTCAGGCAGTCAGTTAGTCGGACTGTTTGTCTGCTGTCAGTAGGTCTGGCGCTCATAGCCTAATTGAATTTCAATACAAAAGCCAGAGCCCTGGAGAGCAACTGCGTGAGTGAGTGAGCAAGTGAAGTGGGAATTGGGTATTGGGCACTGATGTCAATCATTGCAAATGGAAATAAAGCGCAATTATTTATAGCACAGACACACAGTACACAGATACAGATACAGACACAGGCACAGACACACTTGTCAATTGACAGCGACCAGCAATTGATACAATGCCCGTCTTCCACAGGCGGCGATTTGAAATTCCACATCTATAATATGGGCGGCGAGCCCGGCTTTGAGCTGGAACGTGCTCGTTTCTATGCCGCCGAAGTGGCTTGTGGGCTACAGCATCTGCACCAACAGGGCATTGTCTATCGGGACTGCAAGCCCGAAAATATTCTACTCGACGACCATGGGCATGTGCGTATATCGGATCTGGGCCTAGCTGTCGAAATACCCGAGGGGGAAATGGTGCGCGGACGTGTTGGGACTGTGGGTAAGTAGTCGGCTTTTAAAACACTAATATAAGAAAGTTCTGTAATTCATTTGATATGCTCACAGGTTATATGGCACCCGAGGTCATAGACAATGACAAATATGCCTTCTCGCCAGATTGGTTCAGTTTTGGATGTTTGCTATACGAAATGATCGAGGGACAGGCGCCGTTTCGCATGCGCAAGGAGAAGGTCAAACGCGAGGAGGTGGATCGGCGTGTCAAGGTTCGTAAGAGCGAGGTCAAAAAAGCTTCAATAGCTATCCATATATTAAAGATTACTTTTTTAATTTGTATTATGCCAGTTTTATTACCAATCAATTTCGATTTTAACCCACATATGCGTCGAATTTTCCAAGATTTCTGTATTTACCCTCTACAGATCGGCAGTCTTTTTTTATGTTATATATCTTTTATCACTTCTCAAACAATTTTTTTTATAAAATTATTAATTTTAGGAACTAAAGTATTTTTAGAAAAGTCTAGAATATGAAATATCTATAAAAAAAAAGATCGGGTGTGCAATCATTTATATTTTAAGTTATTTTACATTTATTTACATTTCCCATAATCGCGTCACTATCCGATCGATCTTCATTTATCAAGATCGTTATCGGTTACTTAAATAATGATATCGCGGACAAAATATTGCTTTCCCTACAATGAATACCTATACTTATACTTTTTTATGAAAAGTGATATCTATCGAAAACTCTTTAAAATGTTAAAATAGATTTTAGAAGAAGTATTTATAAACCAAATTTAGAGCAGCCTTAATGATAGGTATAAAATATCTAGAATTTCGTTGGTAAAGGGGATTTTGAAGGACATTATAAACTCTTAATGGCTCCAAAATGTCATAAATATGATATAATAATGTTTTGACTTGTATGTCTTCGGATCATCCCAGAACTGAAATAAGCGTTCTTATAGCATATAAAATAGTATAATATTATAGTATCAGAATAGGTTAATCATTTTTAATATTAGTTAGAAAGGTTTCAGAACATTCGTAAAAACTTTTAAAATGCAATTATCTAAAAACTTTTAAAAGGAAGGGAATGTTTAATGGAAACATTTCATGAAGAGGAGCAAATATGGAATTGCAGTTCTCAAGTAGAAGTACATGTAAAGTTTATTATTATGAAATCGATTATTTATTAATTAAATATGAGTAGCTATTAAGATATTGTTTATTAAACTTAATTTAAAAATCGAACAAATTTTTATAAACATTTTAAACATGCTAGACCTGCAATAAATAATTGTAAATTATATATCCGAATGGAATTCTAATGATGTGTGAAAATAAAATTAATGAAAGCATTAGCATAATAGAAAAATGTTATCATTAGAACTCCCTGTCAATAACAAATAATTACCCAAGTAGTTTGTAAATTGCTTTTAGAGTAGCTGTAAGCAACTCTTTAGCAAATAATTTGGGTAAGTTATTAACTAATTAGTTACTTCACTCCCGCAGGAGGACGCCGAAAAGTATTCAAGCAAGTTTAGTGATGAAGCCAAATCCATGTGCCAACAGCTATTAGCTAAATCGATAAAGCAACGTTTGGGCTGTCGAACCGGCCGGATGGGCGCGCTTGATGTGATGGCGCATCCGTTTTTCCACTCCACACAATTGAACTGGCGACGCTTGGAGGCGGGCATGCTGGAGCCACCGTTTGTGCCAGACGTGAGTATAACCATAATAATGGTGTGGGTCAGACAAGTGACGACCTTGGCTCATTAACTGATTCTGATTGCAGCCACACGCTGTTTATGCCAAAGATGTTCTCGATATTGAACAATTCTCGACGGTCAAGGGCGTCAATATCGATGAATCAGATACGAACTTCTATACGAAATTCAATACGGGCTCTGTATCCATATCGTGGCAGAACGAGATGATGGAAACGGACTGTTTCCGTGAATTGAATGTCTTTGGGACTGAGGAGTGTCCGACGCCAGATTTGGTCATCAATGCAACGCCGGTGCCGGACAAGGCCGGCTGCTTTCCATTCAGACGCAAGGTGAGTCGAGTATATAGCACATATATCTTATGCCCTAAATTGAAATTCGAATCTGTTTGTCCTTGCAGAAGAAGCAGCCTGCTCGCACACAGCCCATACCCATTCCTGAACATCTGTTAACCACTAGTCACAGCGTGTCCTCCACAACGGTCGAGAGCTGATAGCATAATTTAGTTTCAAGCAACTAGACGCACACACTCCCCCACACACCCACACCCCCACACCAACACACACACACCCACACACCCACACACCCACAGCCATACTCTAGCACAACAACAAACTAAGGACTCTACAGAGGCACAACACTTGTTCGTCAACGCTTCCGTCAGTTGGTCTGGAACCTTGTAGACTCCGCTCTATCCACTTAAGAGTTGTAAACTAAGCACAACTACTATATGAAAAAAACAAAAACAAAATGACGCGCAAATAATTTGTAAGCGTATTTTTTACACACAATTTTCTTACAAATATTGTATTGAACGTGGCATGAATATTTATATGCAGATAAACATATTTATAATTGTTTCCAAAAGACTCAAAAACACACAAACACACTCACACATACACACCCTCGAGTCACACACTCGAGCTATGCACAACTTAGAGCGTTACTTAAATTGATAAATATGATACTACAATGAAATTAACTGCTTAAAACAAACTCGCTATGGAATCGCATGCCAAATCGGTCAGTTAGCACTCACACACATGAAATAATGTTACTTAAAACAAGAAGAAAACACAAAACTAAAAAAAAAGCAAAAAATTTACCTACTTATTATACTTACACATAAGTGAAAATCTAAATGTAACAACTAGACACCCTAAACATTTTGAATTGAAGAGAGCGTAGAAAGCTTAAAAGCCAATGCCATAGCGCTGCACGGTAAGTTTTGTAAAGTAGAAGAAGAAAGCTTGGAAAATAATCATTTTAATTTGCATTTCGATGCGGTTAGGAATCGAACGCGTACGCATACGTACACACTTATATGTATGTATGTCGCGCCTTTAATGAATACTCGAAAACTTGAATGCATTTTTACAAAATACTTAACATAAAATGTCAACAAACATTATGCAAAACGTTTAGTTTAATTTATGTTTAAATGCCGCATGCTTTTCATTCGCTCTAATTTGTTGTAGTAGTGCCTCAAACTAATTTTGATTACAGATAACAGGAAACCTTTTGTTGTCTATGTTTATAAGTTGGCTGCATTTTCACATTATGTTTTAAAGAACGTGATTACTGATATTTGTTTTATATTTAGTACATACGTACATGCGATTGTATAATATACATACATACATATGTATATATCTATATTTGAATATATATCTTGCAATAATATTCAAATTGCAGCATACTTTGCTAACTAATATGCTAAAAAATGGCAAAAAATGTCAGCTAGTCTCTAAGTTTTGTGTAAACAATGTAGCGTAGGCATTTTTTGTAATTAGCAGCAACAACTAATTGGGGAATTTATTAAGTTAAATGTGAAATCAAGTTAAACGAAAATAATAAAAAGAATTTGTAAATTGTTGGCAATTTGTATTTTGCCGCTGCAATCTTTAGTTACAATTTAATTGATTTGACGTAATTACTAATTAGGCACTAATAGCAAATTATATGGCATTCAACAATTATCAATAAAAATAAATAAATGAAAAACAAAAACTAAAGCACAATACAATGTACGACGCATAAGCCCAAAAAACGCCACCAATCCGTAAAAGATACATTTTAGCACAAAATCGCAGCAAGCGCCCGAAATATTTATCTATAGTAATTAAATGCATATTTATAAAAATATAAATAAATACCAGTTATGCAGAAAAGAATCTAATTTGTAAGAAAGTAAAAAGTTGCATAACACAAATAATAAACCAGAGAAAGAACATTACACAACAATAAATGTATTTAACTAAAAAAACAAAACGTGTGTTTTTATTGCATACATACTCGTAAATGCGGTTGTCAGCAAACGCGTCGTCAGAGGCGATGTCCGCGAAATTCCACGCCAACTCAAAACGAAATTACACAGTGCGCCAAAAAAGCCATTACCAGGCGAACAGAAATCAATAGCAAGTAAACAGCTGATATTTGTTTTGACACAAATTGAAAGTAAACAAAAACGTAAAGAAATGCACCGTTAGAGGTTCACAGCTGTTGTTTATCTTTCTCGCTGTGGCGCACACAACAACAATGAACTTTTAACGGTGCATTTGTTTACGCGCTCATTTGTTTTGAAAACAAATATCAGCTGTTTACTTTCTGTTGATTTCTGTTCGCCTGGTAGTTAGTTATTCGCGGGCTGTGTAATTTCAATTTGAGCCGCCGCGCGATTTTAAAGAAAATGGACGACGGACGTTGCTGCAAAATTAGCAGAGCTTCTTTTAACGTACCGGTTATAAATAAAATAGTTTTAAAATTCAGGATCATATTATTTTAATAAATTGCAAACTTATGAGTTTTCAAATAATGTTTTATTATTATTTGCATTTTTTATTACAATTTAAACCACAACGGCGAGCGTTTGCAGTTGGAAATTTTTGTTGTGCGGCTCACTCCAGTGTAGTCCAGGACGCATTCGGCGCCATTGTTCTCATATGTCATTTCTCCAATCATGTACTCAGGATTGAGCGCCACTCGTAGTATATAGCTTCGATTTACGGGCAGATTGGTCACATCTACCCACTGACAGTCCAACACGTGAGAGTAGACATCAGAGCAGCCAACGGAGATGCCTAGGAATATACATACATATATTGTATTTAACTGGAAAAACTTTTGTGTTAATTAATTTAAACTTCACCTTGTGAGAAGTTGCCACAAGTATGACGCGGCGTTATGCCGGACCGGCACTCTGAGTCCATGAGGCAGAAGGAAGCCTTGTGACCCTGTGCCACCTTCTCGTACCGCTGATTGTAGACATCGAATGTGGCAAATACGTTCATGCTGTGGTAGTGATTGTGGCATTGATGCCACGTCCAGTCTCTGTAGTTGGCATACGGACTCAGCTCCGCAGTGCCCACATTGGTGGCCTTGACGGAGAAGCGCAACAATTTGCGCTCAGCTCTCGGATTGGTGCGTCTTATGACGTACGCATCGGCAGACAAACAGTTCTCCTCCATGGCACAGGTGAGCGATGTCATGGGCAGCGACTGGAGGCGCGCGCTCCGCTCAATGTCCACCAAACCAATCTCCAGATCTGGAGCACGATCTACGCACGCCACAATGGTGACATTTTGATTAGTGGCGTTGCATGCAGCCGGATAGCGGCGCTCCCGGAAACAGTCCGCTAAACGACGCTCCGTGCCGCGACACATGGTGCCCACCATGGCCCAAGGAGTCTTTCTACGGCTGCCATGCTCTGTGCCCTGACTGGCTTTTGAGGCATAACCCAATCCCAGCTGCCGGCAGACCACATTGGCCTCCCGCATGCTCCATGTTGTACTGCAAATGGTGCCCCAAGTGCGTCCAAAATCGAAGCTTACCTCGACACGTCCCTCGCGTAACCGTGGACTGGCGCCACCAGGCCGATTGCTAGCCAATCGCACCAACATGTTGCGATAGTTGTTATCAACGGTAAGCGGTTCTGCAGCAAAGCTCTGGCCCAATCCGAGCAGCAGAAGCATCAGCAGCAGAGCCAAAAAAGGCGCGCAAATCATCGCCATCCCAATTAGCGACTAGTGGAGCACACCGGACAGCGGCTCCGTTTTAAAAGCCGGCGAACAATGCTGGACCTACTTAATGAAATTGCTGAAAATCTGAAACATCTGGTGAAAAAATTGGGCTACATGTGTGTCTACAGAGGCATAGTATTGTGCATTATATTTTTGTCGTCAGTAGGCAGCCGCAATCGAATCTATGTTCTGACCCACTTCCGGCTGCTTTGCACACATGGCTTACACCTCCTACACGAACATACATACATATATACATGCGCATATGAAAGGTATACAAAAACCGTTCAAAACAGCTTGGCCTGTGCGTGTGAGTGTTTGTGTGTGTGAGTGTTTTGAAAACCGGAGTGCATTCGTTTTTTTTTTAAACATACATATGTCAACAATAAAGTGTGGGTCTGGGCTATTGGGTTATAAGTCGAGCAACTTCCTAATCTCTGCCTTTAGCTCAGAAGGCTTGAAAACGCCACGTTCCGTAATAATGCCCGTAATGAGGGCAGCGGGTGTGACATCGAAGGCGGGATTCCAGCAGTTAATGCCCGGCGCGGCAATCCGATGCTCGCCGACGTGCGTCATCTCGCGATCGGGTCGCTCCTCGATAATGATGTGATCGCCGCTGGGTATTTGCAAGTCGATGGATGTGAGGGGTGCGGCCACATAGAAGGGCACAGCATGGTGCCTGGCCACCACGGCTATCTGGTAGGTGCCAATCTTATTGGCTGTGTCACCATTAGCAGCTACCTGGTTGGGTTAAACGAGGAGTGTTATTGCACCGACAACTGAATAATCTCAATATATACTCACACGATCCGCACCAACAACAACAGCAGCCACATTCTTCGCCCGCAGCAGAGCCGCCACCATGCTGTCCAGCACCAGCGTGGCCGGCAATTTATCGTGCACCAACTCGTAGGCAGTGAGACGCGCTCCCTGATTATACGGCCTGGTCTCAGTGCAATAGACGTGCTCTGGAAATCAATAGAGAACGGGATTAGCAGTCAAGTATTAAGTGAAACTGAAAGACTGAGTTCAGGAAATGATCATTAAAAGCTTCATTTTTGAAATGAGTTTTACAGGGTTTTAGCTTCAAAGAAACCTCTTCTGAATTTTTGAAAAATACTGGACTATAACAATGGATGTATATCTGATTTAATTCGATATACTACATTCTGAAATGTATTAAAAGCTCAATATTTTGATGTTATTTTACTGGATTAATATAAGACACCAAATCTATTTGAAAGTGTAAAAATTTTCGGGGAGGAATTGAGATTTAGAGTGATTTATTGCTTCAAATATAATTTATTTTAAATTTTTGAATAGTACTAGACTATAACAATGGTTTCATATCTAGACTCAAATTTGAATTTTTTTTTTTTCTTCTTCTATGGGAGGAATGATAAGGACAGAGTCTTGTTGGAGATTGGATTGTTGGAAATTTTGAATATTTTGTTTCTAGAGTTTATTCTCTTATCTCTGCCGACCTACTTTAAATGTTGTGCTCAAATATTTTGCTTGAGATGCAAATGAAACTACTAATGGAAAAAACTCAAGTTTATATCCAGTATTCGATTGGTAACTTCGAATATATTGACATTCAATATTTGGTTTAAAATTGTGATTCAAGAGCTTTGAGGTCCGTATTTGTTGTCTTATTTAATTCTTCCTCAAAGAATCATTCTGAATATATCATTCAGAAGGTATGACGTTCATTGTTTTTAGATCTTGTGTCTAGATCTTGATTGTTTGTAATATTTCAGGTGTTAAAATTATAAAGTTACTGATAAAAGTGTTTACTGTAATAAAAACATTCACATTCCTATTGGGTACCTAAATATTCGTTTGCCTCATTTCTATGTATTTCTTAAAGTGGGAATCTTGCTTACCCAGCTTGCCGAGCTCGTGAAGTTGCCGCACCACACCGAGTGCCGTTCCATAGCCTGCTGTAGCTAGAGATCCGGTGTTGCAGTGCGTCAGCATCCGCACCGGACCAGCATTGCCGCCTTCCGCCGAGACACGCTGCAGGATGGCCGTCGCGCCATTCGCTCCAATCGCCCGATTGTCGGCAATGTCTTTCTGCAACATGGCCTCGGTGGCGTTCAGGAATCTTGAATTGGGACATTTGGACATTGAAGACGCCTTGTCTGTGCTGGGGTTGCATTTTTTTTTTTTGTATTTTTAGCTTGGGTAGCTGTTTACCTTTGCTTCATGTCCGCGACTGAGACGCTGTCATCTTTGGAGAGCTCGTTGGCCAGCGCAATCAGTTCATCGGCAGCGATTTTCATATTCACCGCCGTGGGCCGCGCTGAGACCAGATAGTTGAGCTTCCCTTCGATCTCCTGACGCAGCTGTTTCTTCGTCCCGAACTCCTCAGGATGTATTTCAACGGCGAGGGATAGACAGCCTACGATCGCAATGGCTGGCGCACCACGTACCTATTTGATAGGAGGAAGGGTATAGGATTATTTCGAGAGAACGAAATATTTAAATAGATAAATATAATCGATATATATCGATCGATAAAAATCACAAGATTTATAATACACTAAGCAACTTATGACTTATCATATAAATGGAAAGAGTTCTAACAAACTAGGAATTATTATATTTGAACAGGAGCGAGCACAACAAGACCAAAGCTATTATAGGAAAAGACAACTTTAAGAAAAGCCTTTTCGTTGGGGTAGATCAGGTCCGTTCTGTTGCTGGGGTGTTCCTTTCTCCGAGCCTATGCGTTATTTATTTAAGAAAATCTGGATTTATAACCATATTCGGTACGGATAGAAATTAGCAGATGATGACAAAAAGGAACTACCGCTGCCAGAAAGAATTGTTAAGTAACAAGAAGATCAGAAGAAATTATAGAAATAAGGGATCCCGTGGTGAAGGTTAGTTTCTAAAAATATCTGCAGGACAGGATATAGACTAGCAGATGATGACTAAAAGGATCTACTGATGCCAGAAACAATTATTAAGTAACAAGAAGATCCGAAGATAATTAGGAAATAAGGCTCCCGTGTTGAAGTTTAGTTTTTGAAAATATTTGTAGTACAATGGACCAATAGCATTTTGACTATGTGTATGGGATCGGCTGATTCTAACGCAATTCTGGCTGATATATGGACTCTTAGCCCACACCACCAAATAAGGCTGCTTAGTAAACCAAATCTAGGAGTAATTAATACTTCTGTAAAAGGGCAAGAGAAGAGGATTCGGGATAGAACTTATGTATAGAATGAATGCCTATTTGTCTTTCAAATCTGTCTATTCGGTATGCATTAAGAGACTCGAAATATTTTAACACTTTGGTGTGGTTCCGAAAACGATTTTTGTCTGTGAATGTTCTTTGAAAACTTATCGTTCAATCAGTTTCTTTATGCAAAAGTTAGATTTCATTCATCTCTGACATGATTTCGGGTTCATCTTAGTGCCAAAATATTGTTTTTCTTTAATACTTACAAGTATAATGTATATAGGGTGTGTGTATGTTTTTCTGTTTATTGTAGCTGCCTAATCTGATCATGACTTGAGGTTTTGCGCCCTGCCCGCCACTATAAGCTTTTAACAACATATAGTAGTCGTATAAATCTGAATGTGCTTCACGTGATAATATGAAATACTGTAGTAACGGGACTGACTCGCTGCCTAGACAGCAATTAAGGCGAACAAATGGCATTATCTCTATACGAGAATATATTTGTTTAACAACAAAACACTGCCAGCCACAGAGAGGCAGAGAGAGTGGCGCTAAACTGTTCATGCGTTGGCTGCCTAAGCGCTTTACTTAGAGGGAACAGAACAGGCGATGGGTCGGTGGTACTGGGAGGGTTGGGTGCCATCTGAGGGCAGTAATGAGTGGCATGCCTGTGAGGTGGGGTAGCTGCCAAGTTTGAAGATCAGCCATTGTGTCAAGCGATGCGGCTGGGAGGCATTTGGGTGATGTTTTATTTTTGGCAAGCACTTAACAAATTTATAAATTCAATTATGTTTATTTATAGGCGGCGGTTGTACAGCATGCAACATTTTTAATGGCCCTTTTGACGGATGATGATGATGACGGTAACTCACCTGCATTTTATTGATGACCTTCCAGCCATCCTCGACGCCCTGCACACTCACATATTTGGACTGCACAGGCAGCAGCAGCTGATCCAAAATTGCCAGACTGCCGCGTGTATATTTGATCGATTGCAGGCTCATGTCTATCCTACTTCTTTTGTACTCTCTCTGTGCGTGTGGAAAGGAAACGAATCTGCAAAAGTCAAGGAATACAACTTAGTCAATTAGTTAATTGCTGAGAAAACAAATTAAAGGCCAGCACGAGAGGCAAACAAACAAACAAACCGAAAAGTCCAACGTGGATTGCTCACAGTTTTAGTTTTATTCCTGTCTGTGGTTCGGTTATACTTGTAGGTTGGCGTCACAAAAGCAAATTGTGCGAGTGCTCAAACATTTATAAACGTAAATGTCTGAATTTATTGCATTGGCGTTTCCTTCTTTATATGTAATTTGTATTTTTTATTTTGGAATCGAACGCGCACAAACAAACAGACGTACAGCCATACGGGCAGGCTAACATATAAATACACGAGTATTTGTTTGTATAATATTAATGTCAATTTATCAAAGCTAATAAAACGAGAAGCGGTCGCAAATAAGTTTCCTTGAATGAACGTCAAATGTGGGGGCACACTTGTGACCGCCTCGTCTTGTGGACGCCGTGCAACTGAAGACCGAATGCCACTCGGGCCATTCAAATTGGGGGCCTACTAGCTCGATTTGGCGCGCCAATGAGTTAATGGGTGGAGGCGCAAGCACACCCTTCGCTATATTTATTTTGACACCAGCATGTCTATTTGATTCAGAATTACCGTTTTATGGTCACTAAACGTTATATTAAGCGTTTAAACACTTGAGTGCGGAAAATGCCAGATCTACATATTGTAAAGATATGAAATGTACTTGTAGTTTTTTTTTTGGCAGCAATTGGAAAGGTAGACGAAAAAAGTTGAGACTCTTAAATTAAACTGATTATACTATATTAGGAGGATTATTATAAAGAGAAGCAATGTCTTTAATAAAGAAGTCTTAATTAACACAATATCTATAGTTGTGTTTCGACTAAATATTTGAAATACTAGAGAAAACTAACAAATAAAATCAATTCAGCCACCCTATTGATAATAACAATTTCTATAAAAATGGCTGTATTTTATTCTCTGATTTACATCCTTTATCTGTCACACATATTAAAATATTTATTAATGAGTTGTGGTTTAAAGTGGATAGATATCACACCGTTTGCTATTATATCTAAAAACCATATCAAAGGCAATGTTCTCCAATCTCAAGGGAATGAGCTTTGCGAGAATTACGAGATATCAGATGGAGTAAATACTTTTGATACGTGTAAACACGTCTACATTAGCTTAGGAAATAGAGGCTAGTAATGATCTGTTAAAGTTCCTAAAAAATTACAATTATTTAGTGACTCTATGTTAATGAAGCTTTATTACACTGGAATTATCTCCTATATTGGAGATGTCTGCCCATGTATTTTAAAGCCGCCAAATCGGAATAAATTTTACGTATCACACGTATCATCATCCTAAGATGATATGCATTATAAACAATTCGAAACAATTTCAAATCAATAAAAAAGTTGGAAAAAGTAAGCAAGAAAGACAGTGCTTTTCAATATACATATAAATGGCAGATAGTGTAAGCAACAAGAGCGCGCAATTAGACGACAAGCCAGCCATCAGTGCTAGTGAATGAGTGAGATCTGGCCGGCCAGTCAATGAGCCAAGCAAATGAGCAATGGGTCGGGCTATTAATTCGACTTGACATCGAGGATGTTGGTGTGGTACGGTGCTTTGGCAATGCGTTGCCAATTGATAAAGTCGGTTTGTCGCTGCCGCCTGTTCCGCCCCTCGCAACCACACAACCAAACTAACCCAGACCCTATCACAGTCTCTTTTTTTTTCCGCTGACGTTCAAATGTTGTTGACATTTTAGTGACAGCTAACCAAATCGCAACAACAGCGCGCCGCTTATCTTGAAAGTGAAAAATAAATACATACTCGTACATACATACATATGTATGTACATACACTGGTCGGCACAATTATTTTGACGAACTGTACTCACGACTATCGGTGCTGGTTGTTTTTAGTTTCAAGGAATAACGGTACAATTTTCATACGGGATATAGAGTTCATAGCAACAACAATATGTAGGCAAAATATTTTGTCTATTACTCTTCACACCTTCTTTCTACAAATGACAATGTGAGTTGACTGCGGATTCAGGCACGGCATAAGTATTTTGACCAAATCTTTGTCGCCGTTTTCGCGCACGTTTTGTCAAGTGATACTAAAATAACTTTGCTGTAACCATTTTTGTTGACCTTTCAACATTAAATTCATTCAAATTTGATTGAAAAGTTATAAATACAATGGGAAAAACAGCAGAATTAAATTATGTTGTTAGAGCCTCAATAGTGGCGAAGTTTAATGCCGGCGTAAAACCAAAAGACATTGCAAATGAATATAATTTGTCGCGGCAAACAGTCCACTATCAAATTAACAAATATAAGACCCACAATGACGTCAAAAACTTGCCTAGTTCAGGTGCTAACCGCAAAACAACACCCATTGAAGATCGAGTCCTATTGCGGGAATTTAAAAAAAATATTCATTTAAGTCCGCAAGCTGCTGCAGATCAATGGAATAAGTCGACCAAGACTCCAATCAGTGAGCGTACTGTTCGGCGACGCCTAAAAGAAGAAGATTTTAAGACATACAAAGCGAAGGACATACCTTACATATCAAAGGTGAACAAGCTCAAAAGATTGGCTTTTGCAAAGGAGCATCTGCATAAGCCAAAAGAGTTTTGGAGAAGCGTTCTATGGACAGATGAAAGCTCCTTTGAATATAATTCATCAAAAACAAAGATTTTTGTAAGGCTCCCACAGTTTCAAAGACAAAAAAATATCCCCGTATGTCAAAAAGTGAGCCATGGCGGAGGCTCAGTCATGTTCTGGGGATGCATTGCGTACAATGGGTTAGGTGATTTCGTTCCCATCATCGGCTCAATTAACCAGCAACAATATTTGAGTACCCTTAACGAAAACGCATTCCCTTCCGGTGACAGGCTGATTGGAGAATCATTTATCCTGCAACAGGATAACGCCCCATGCCACAAAAGCAAAATGATAAGAGCATTTTTAACCGATGTTGGTGTTACTACTCTGGATTGGCCACCACAAAGTCCGGACTTAAACGTTATTGAGAATGTGTGGTCTCTTGTAAAACGTAAAAGAAATGCGTCTTTGCATAAAACCGAAGAAGAAACTATTTCCGAAGTCACTTCTCTTTGGAAAGAGATACCATTAGAGGTCCTTCAAAATTTAGTGGACTCAGTTACAAGACGTCTTCAAAAAGTTATCGAAGCCAAAGGCGGGTATACATTTTATTAATCTACCATCAATTTCTTATGTTTTGTTTAGTATTAAGCTTTGTTTTTTTTGTTTATATCCATTGTCAAAATACTTATGCCAACCCATGAAAATTACCTTGATTTATAATTTTAAAAGTTCTTATAAAAATATATCCTTTGAATTATTTTTAAGTTTGTAATACCAATATGGAATTGAGAAAAAAAGTTTCCTTTGATATCTTAAACCAATAACCAGTTATTGACAAAAATGTATGATTTTCTTCTCGTCAAAATAATTGTGCCGACCAGTGTACATACTTGTATGTACATACATTGAGGTTTATAAACTGCCGTAGTGACGGTGCGGCACCAACACACATATACCCACGTGCATTCACTCATATGTATTATGTATGTACATATGTATGTATGTGTGCGTGTGCAGCTTGCACAATTCAGAGCGTAATTTATGCGCCCGCAATTAGTTGGGCTTCCTCAGAGATGTCACACTTAAAATTTGGATGCATGCCAAAATTATGTTCAACATATGTGTGTAAAATTTACACAAGCAACAACACCAAATTGCAGTTACAACAACAATTAGTGCCGTGACAGACATTTCTGTTGTACTAGCTTGCTTTTGTTGTAATTCTTTCTGTTGGCGGAAGCAACAGGTGCCATATGTACTTGTATATATATTTATTCGTTCTTTTCGCCGCGTGTGTTTCAAGTCAAAATCGTTTAGTCTGAGCTTTAGCAATTGCAGAAATGTGGCGTTTTTGTTTTGTCTGGCCCCCAAAAATGTTATGAAACAACAAGTGTTGGTGTGGTAGACGTGGACAGCAGGCAGGCAAAGGTAATATGGTAATTAAAAAAGTGCCGGTCCGGTTGCTCACCTGTAAGATTTTGAATCTGATATTTATTTCACTGTTATCCACCGTTCACTCTGTAGTCGGATATGAACCAGTTGTTTAAATAACTTATAAATTCGTTTAACTTTGGTTATTATTTTTGTTAGTATTTTGCACACGCCGGTCGGCTGTTCGTTTAAGAAAAATTGTACCGTTTAAATTTGTCGTTTCCGAATGAAATCACGAACTTAACCCGTAGGCGGAAGCGGTTGTTTATATCGCTTATTTTTTGACTACCACAACGCAACCGCGTAGCGCACAATGCGGGATCGAAAAACAACAACAATGTTTTTTTTTACTTAATCTACTTAACCTAACAAAAAAACAATTCATTCACAATGACAAGAACAAGTGTTGTATAGCTTTCAAAAACCTAAGGTGGCAGCGCCGTGGCGGACCTGATATACTCATACAAGGTATGACATTGCGCTGGTCCGGTATACAATGCACATGACGTCACAAATAGCTCAAATAGCTAGGCATATGGAAAGCCACGTACGAAGGAGTGAACTCGCTATACGTGAACGTGCTCTTTCGCTCTCATTGTGAGAGTAAGTCAATTTTATGGACTCTAGCGCTCTCTCATGGCAAAAAAGGCAAGCGCTAGTGCGTAGGCAAGTGGCAGCACTGCATATGGCGCGTGAAATTTAAAATCATCCGTCTGCTAAATTGTTTATAGTAACTATGGAATGGTTCATAATATATTAATACAGCAATATGCATTCTTTACACACACAAAATTTAAACAATTTAAAATTTAAGATCGTTGTATTTTGGTCAGACTATACTAATTTACAATTTTAGAACTTAAATTGCTTATTGTGATATTGTTCCTAAGAAAATAAAACCATTGTAGTATTTACTGGTATACCAGATAATTTCTTTCTAATGAGCAGAAGTGTGGCAGAGTTTAGTAAAAATGCTGATAGATGGCAATATCTGAAATGGTCCACCTAGTGGCATTTTAATGCAACTACACAACAATTACTTGTTTAAATTTGTAGAACTTTATCTGGAACTGAATAATTGCTTCGATTTGTACGAACATGGATCCATTTCCTTATGCTGAGGCGCTGTCAAAACTACACACCCACTTATGTATCTCCGCGCCCTATTAATTGACCATTCATGCAATCAGTACGCCCCGTCGTAAAACATCGCAGAAATTCGGCGTTTATAGGTTTGGTTTATTAAGCTCCTTTTACGCAACTTGGGTTTGTTAAAAGTCGGTAAGGGAAGTCTTCCTGGGCACTCAATGCGGCAGTACAACTACTGCTTATTCCAATTTCTTTCTTTTTTCTACAATACTGAACGTTTTGACGCTTTAGACACATTTGTAATTCAAAATTTCTACGAAAAATAAAAGCCAGGCAAACACACAAAATGGGCAGAGCGGGTGCACTGAGCCTTTATCGACTACGTCCCAACAAAACTTTGTTCATGCTCTGTGACGTCCAGGAGAAGTTCAAGCCCGTGATGCCATTGTGGAGTGATTTAATTGAGAATATCAAAAAACTGGTAGTACCAAAGCCAAATCTTTACAGCATATTGTTAACTTATTAGCTAATCTAATGCCACAGTTAGCGGCGGGCAAAATATTTAATGTGCCCCTCGTGGTCACGGAGCAATATCCTGAGAAGCTGGGCAAGACAGCCGCTGAGTTGGACATCAAGCATGCTTGCGCAAACATACCCAAGACAAAGTTTAGCATGATTGTGCCGCCCGTCATGAATAATATTGACGATATATTCGGTGGCAAGCCAAAATCGGTTGTACTATTTGGCGTAGAGGTGCGTTATCGAATTTGAATGCATAGCTTTTTTATCAAAGCACAGCTTTTCTCAATTACTCCTTACCTAGACGCACGTTTGCATTGAACATACTGCCTTCGATTTGATAAATAATAAGGTAAATGTATGGCTGGCCGCTGACTGCTGCGCCTCGAGGCTCAATCAGGATCGGGATTTAGCATTGGAGCGACTGCGGGACATTGGATGCATCATTGCCACGTCCGAGAGCATTATTTTCAATTTGCTGAGCGACAAAAACCACAAGTCCTTTAAGGATGTGGCGGGACTAGTAAAGAAAACGTCGAGGGACGTGAAGCTGTGGCGTCCCACAAAGGCACCCGCAACAGACAAGAAGTAAGCGGCGCCTTTTAAGTGTTGGGGCCGCTGCATTTTCTTGCCATTAAAGATTCATTTTGTGTGTCTGCCGGGCTAGCAACTCATCGAAATTATGAAAGGACCACCGGTAGGGCGCTTTGGATGCCTTGTGCCGTGGCATCATAAACATTTTGGCCAGCGGACAGTTGAATGGCTCAAGAGTGGCGGTGCCTGTGTAGCGCCTTATAAGCCGTCTGACGCCACAATTCCAACAGCATCAGCATTAGCAGCAACAGCAGCAGTAACAGCAGCGGCAGCGGCAGCAGCCGTCGCCTCGGCTAAAACAGCAGCCGTTGCATGTCGGCTCCTGCCGTTTATATATATATACCCTGACATTATGGTGGCTCCTAGAAATTGGGCACTAAAATTTTATGATGTAATCTCTGCGTGTTGTTTTCTTGTTGTTGTTTGCGTTTGTTTTTTGTGTTTGCCTACGCCTTCGAACTGGTTTACATGCTATAGACGCCGCTGGCAAATGACGCCTCACGTTGCTGGTGACAATGTACAAGCCTCTGATTAACTCATATAACAAGAGTCCAGAGACCTGTGCCATCGATGCCTGCCATTGATGATGGCATATCTGGCTAGGAAGCAACACGATGCATCAATAGTACGCACATAGTGTAAAGGTTTATGCGACACAAATCACGATGAATCTTTCAGCCCTTTCACAACAAATGCAAAGGACAACAAGTGAAATCTAAGATTCCACAAGATTCATGCTTTAAGCTTCACAAAAGTCCTGTCAGGACAATTGTTTCACTATGCTGGTATATCTTGACGTTAACTGCGGTCTTTGTAAGATATCATTTTAAGTATTGTCCAAGCATAAATCATTTTAGTTTGGTATTAAATTAACTAGGAAACTTGGTATACGGATATATACTTGTAATCACTAACTGGATGTGACTACCAATTTTTTACGGGAGTTATAGAAAATCACGAATATAGGGGGAGTGGGGGGGGGGGGGGGGGGGGGTGCATCAGAAAAAATGAACAGGAGAATCTGCGTTCATACAGACAGACAGACGGACAGACGGACAGACAGACGGACATGGCTATATCGGCTCGGCTTGTCATCAAGAATATCAAGGTCTGCCACGTCTCCTTCTGGGTGTTCCATGTACACTCGCACAAAACTAATATACCCTTTTACCCTTTGGGTACAGGGTATAAAAAGTTCATGGCTGACAAGAAAAGTTAGAAATGAAATAATAATTAATACTGCCGCACACAAAATGGATGAGGTACGGCAAATACGTTTCTGGCTACAATTCAGGATCTAAGTGCAGCGTGTAAACATACTTGTACAAGCAAAGATGCAGATATCGCATCCGTTGCCGTTACCCTGTGTCGGCATTCCAGCGCGACTGGAGGCAAAGTCTTAAAATTGAAGCTGGCAATTTATTTGCCTAAGCCCTGCCACAGCTCTATGGCTGACTATACTGCGATCTGTTGCCGCTCGACTGGTCTAAACTAAGTGAAACTGATGGCGTTGTGGCACGCGATAAGCCGCCGCAGATACCACGTAGATGCATTCAATTATGCACGCCGCCGTGCTCTCTTATCTAATCCGACGGACACGCGTTACAAGGCGCCGTAAGTCGTTGCAGTTTTCACTTAACGTCGCTACGCATCAGCAGAGTGTGAACAGGAGTGTGCCTGTGTGTGTGTACCTGTGTGTGTGTAGGTGTCTTGGGTGCGTGAAAAGTGAATTGGGGCAACGGTAAAGTGCGTAAGAAATTTCAAGCTTAGCTCCAATTTAGAGGCAGCGATTGCATTTTGGTTCAGCAAGCTGGCCATAAATTTGCGTTCTACGCTGGCCAACCGGTTCGAAGTTGCACATTTTAATAAATTTCGTTTTGCTGTTCGCCACGACCGCGATAAAAATGATAAATCTGTGAAATTTTCTACGATGTGCAAATGAACGGGCGGCATGGAGGCTTCGCGAGCGCCAGAGGATCAGCAGCACCAGCGCCAGCACCAGCACAAGCAGCTGCTTTGACTGTGGCTGCTCCTGCTCATCGATTGGTCGAATCGGCGATTGCTCGATTGGTTCGAGCTACCAAAATGACGATATGCGAATTTATGTGTTTGCCGCTCGGCAAGTGGCAGCAAGTGGCCAGGCTCATACATCAAAATGTTGCTGCCTTAAAGCCTTAACAGCATTTCCTTAGTAAAAATTCCTATGTCTTATGCCATTTGCAGTGGCGTGTTGACAAATGCGCGGCGTGAGAATGTCAGAGAGTCAGCGCGCAGAGCTGGGCTTGTGAGATTGTGGGCTTGCGGCGCGGTTCAAAGCCCACAAACATATGTACATTGCATAATTTATGAGCAGGCAGGCAGGCAAGCAGGCCTGCCCAAATAACCAACAATTAACCAAATTTTGCTCGAGGCCAAATGCTGTAATGAGACAGCGACAACAACAACTAGAGTTACCGCAACAACACTTGAAGAAATAAGAGTTTCAAAGAATATTTAAGTCGCTTGTTTAGCATCTTGTGAGAATCTGTAATGAACTATAGAATGATACATTTAAGCAATAGGTGAGATCTAATACGTTGAATCGCATTCGAGCGGAGATTCTGAGTTGAAATGGAGCACGATTTGTTCTGCTACATTAGAAGGGACCTGAAGATTAGTTGACTAGATAGGGACATAAGTAATACATACCATATTAGAACAGCAACTTAGGTGTACTAAACACACAAAGTTGATTCGACATATATAAGACTTCACTGGAGATGTTTATGTTGGGCCTGGAGCTGATTGTGCTAGCGATCTATGAAAAGAGCAATGTATACTGAATGCATCCCAGAGCAGCCCAGTGTTAAGATTATATTTTTATAGCCTGTACCCAAAGGGTGAAAGGCTATACTAGTTTTGTGCGCATGTATGTAACACACAGAAGGAGGCGTGGCAGACCCCACAAAGTATATATATTCTTGATCAGGATGAGAAGACGAGTCGATATAGCCATGTCCGTCTGTCCGTCTGACCGTCTGTCCGTCTGTCTGTATGAGCGCAAGGATCTCAGTAAGTACAAGAGCTAGGATAACCAAAATTGGTATCAAGGTTCCTATAAGCCCTAGGCAGAACGAGTTTGTTTATTTTTTCTGATACACCCCCCCACTCCCCCGCAATTCGTATTTGTTCTTATAACTTCCGTAATTCTCGGAATTTAAAAATCAATTTTGGTAGGTACATCCAGTTAGTACTAATGTGTCCGTGTGCCAAATTTCATCATGATAGGTCAATTCTGAAGAAAGTTATAGCCATAAGTAAAATCGCTGCTCATGCGCTGCCTGCAGCTCTGTCGGCAGCGCTGCCCGCAGCTGTTGTTGTTGTTGCTGCTTTTGTTCAACTTTGTGCTGCATACATACACGCATATGAACACGCATAGGTACGTGATGTAAATGTATGCTGTTTAAACTGAACATAAACATGTATTCTAATTTAATTTAATTAATTATTTTAATTAATTCATTCATTCATTTTTTTTAATAATTTAATTTTTTTTTAATTTTTTTTTTTTTAATTTTTCTTTTTTGTGGAGAGTACAGGCTATTTTACTGTCGGGCTTGCTCGACTGTAGCGTTCTATCTTGTTTTTCTAAGTGCAGATCATCTAAGCTAATGAAAGCTTAGGTTGCATGCAGCATTTGCCGTATGCTTTATTTTACTTCCCACACTAAAGTGGAGCCATCAACAAGCCGAAGCAATTAGTTCAATAAATTTATGCTAATTATGGTCTCACAAAATTTGTGTTCTTAAGTACCGCTTGCTAACTTAATAAGCCGTTGGGAGGCGTCGGTGTGTTTGGCTAGCGGTCATAGGGAATTTTCACTCGTAGTTCATTGTAAATAAGATATTTAGACTCAGAGATCACCTGTTAACCCAAAAACAAAAGTGCATGCCTCCAAGACCATTGACCAGGCAATTAGAACTGCGCGCGATGTGTATCTTCCTTAACGTGCGTGTAATTCCAATTAGCATATGAAATGAATTGCGTTTTTCTTTGTAAAAAGTCCAAGGCGTCTTTCCATTTATTGCGCTGGGTGTGAGAATACTCGTAAATCTGTATGGCATAATTTAGCTGGCTATCTAATTGCCCGGCTTGTTTCTGCGATAATTGAATGTTGAACATTTATGCATTGCAAATTTGTTTATCTTCTAAGACAGTAGGGTCGTAAAGAATAGCATAATTAATTAGCGAACTGCAAAAGTACAGCATGAATTAGTAGTTAACCCAAGTATTCGATTCTACAAGGTGGCTAACGAAGCTGATTATGATTTATTTTCTAATAGCTGATAATTAGTGGTACCTGCTTGGAAAAATGAACTACTTAATCACCCGGTTGCAAGCAAAGGTCCTGTAGTCTACATATTCCATGTCTGTGGTAGCCTCTAAGATAATACTCTGAGTGCTGTAACCAATAGATTTGGGCTTTAGAATAGAATTCTCCAATAATTCTTACAATTGTTTACCAATTCTGAAAATTTGTTGCTGATTATGTTGGAGATTGTGTTTTCCTAACCACATTCTATATTTTAACTTATTTTGGTTTTTGGTGAGTATTTAAAGATGAAGACTGCAAACACCAAATTGTTTAAAAAATTATTTATTTATATTTATTTATCTTTTCATAACAAACAGAAAGAGCTTTCTAAATTGCTTACAAACATTCATTGGGCCAAGAGTTACTAAAAGTTAACAGGCAGATTAACTTACAACCATATGACAACGGGAAATGTTATTTGATAACATGTTAGTATGGCTGCAACAAAGGTAAACGGGCCTTAACCGCTTTCTTCTTAACGAAATGATGTTGCCAGGCTGAAAGGACTTCCTTTTAAGCAGAAATATGCTGCCTAAAATATATCAGTAATAATCAACAACCTACGTACATACATGTTTGAATGTTAAAAGGAAAAGCTACACATGCCAGAAATTGAAAAGAAGCTGTTTATCAGTTGCTCTGGATAAAGATCTGTGCTGTTTGTTTCGTTTATTTGTCCGGCAAGTTTCAATGGCCGAAACTAGATCGAGATATGAGTGGTGTTTACACTATGTCACCTCATGTTTTCTTTGCTCAATGCTATCTTAAGCAGCATCTGCAGCGGCCAAAACGACAATGCCTGGTTAGGATGACAGTCCAAAAAGCTAGCACCGACACCGACACCGGCACTAGCAGAAGCACAAGCACCAGCACCAGCAGTCTACTGACCCTATTCACCGTTTATTTAGAGATAGTGAAAGGTCGAAATCGCCCCGCAATTGTGGCAAAATCCGCTGCCTTTGCTTTGTTAGAATATGTAACTAATTTGCTTAAATGCGCACAATAAAATATTTTGGTTGCGACAAGTTGCCGTAAAAGCCG